CCGCGCCCCGGCGTGGGCGCTGCGCCCCGGGCAGGGAGTGCCAGGCGGGAGGAGTGCCCGGGCAGGAGCTCTTTCCTGAGCAAACAGGTGCAGGCAGCGCGTCGGGTTGGCTTGGGCTGTACAGGAGGTCCGAAGCCACCGAGCATGACTAGTCCTGGCACAAAGGGGTCTTGGCTCTCGCAGCCGACGGTGAAGAGCGTGCTGGTGTATCGCAATGGGGACCCTTTCTTCCCAGGGCGCCGTATTGTCATCCACGAGAAGAAAGTGTCCAACTTTGATGTATTCCTGAAAGAGGTGACAGGAGGGGTGAAGGCACCCTTTGGAGCTGTGCGAAACATCTATACCCCCCGGGGTGGGCATCGTGTCCGGCAGCTGGAGGAGCTCCAGAGTGGAGAGCAGTATGTAGCTGGTGGCAGAGAAGCCTTCAAGAAACTCAAGTGAGTGGCTGAAAAGTAATGTAAGATTTTTATGGAACTTGAATATCAGCATTTGGGGTTTGACACTGTGGCAATACTTCAGACATACCCCTACCCCGTCCCTTTTATTAGGAGTTGCAGAAAGAAAGGGAAAAGAGCTTTAGAGATGAGCCACACTAAGGCTGCTGATACCATGAGTTGCATAGTGCCATCTCCTTGACATGACAGTAGAACAGGAGAAACAGCCCTTTAACCTGAAGGACGTGCAGCAGTGGTATAATGTTGTGATATGTGTGCTTAAATGGAGGGCAAGTATCAGTACTTGTACCCAGGGGTTGTTACTGTAGAGCAAAAACTGTATAAAGGTGGAGTGTTGACAGTTCTGCCATGAAGTTGGTGAGCCTGGGAAGTTAATTCCCAATGCTTCCTTTCTTGCTTATTTTAAAAAGTCTGAAGTATTCTATCCAGCTATATGCCTCTCCATCACTTCTGTTCATTTTGGGTAGGTATATGGCCTTTTTATGACCAGACTAACTGAGTCCCTGCTGTGATTTAAAATATGACTGTTTGCTTTCTTTTTCCTACCTGGACACAAATAATTAAGCTGACAGTTTTTCTGTTTTCTGGTGATTGACTGGGAAGATAACATGGAGATCAGGGCTTTTAGGTGTGTTTCCTGAGTGGCTCTGCATGTGATCAGTAACAGCTCTTAATTCTGGCAGTGAATTTCACGGTCTCAGTTGGCTGTTAGATGTTTTCTTCAGTCTTTGTGGGCATTTTTTCCTACAGTTAAGTTAAAAAATAAATAAATCTCAAAATTAACAATCCCTTTATGGACGTGGTTGAGAATTTATATGCTAAATTACTGCCTTTATAGGGTCTTGCTCCTCTTGGTTCTGCAGAGTTGAGGACAGAGTTTCAGGAGAGCTCATTATGAGCTCATTATGTTTCAGAACAAAACAGTCTGTGTAATGAGCAGGATCTCTATCAGCACCCTTGCGATTTCTGTCACTAGCTGATTCTGAAGATTTATTGAAGCTTCTTGAACTTCAGTGGCAGAGCTGGAGAGAAAGATGTATGACAGGCTAAATATATAAGTCCCTTTTCCCCTTTCTCTTCCATGTCAAAGGCAGTGCTCAACTCTCAAGAAAGATCTACCATATCTTTTTGGCATTATATCCTGTGATTCTTCATTCCTGTGGATGGCTTAAAGTTGATAGTCGTCAGCATGTCATGTTACACCTCCCTAAATGTGTTTTGTGGTTGACAGGCTAAAAGTAAGTAAGTGTTTGGCATTAGCGTGCAGTTTAGAGAATTGGACACTCTGGATTTATTTTGGGTGGGAAAAAGCATTGCTTTTTGTCAGTTCATGCTTTATGGTCAGAGTTTTATGGCGAGAGTCTTTCAGACTTTTATGGTTGCAACATTCAACGAGATACCTAATTTTTTAAGACCAACAAAGAGAATAGTTTAAGAAAAGCTAACCTAAAGGACATGGTAAAAGCAGGCTGGTTTATATATCCCTTGATAGTATACCATAATCCTGTTTGTAGGGAGGATAAATGGGATGACTTGAGATATTTTCAATTTCTGCATTCAGAGTTCTTCACTATTAGTATTTGTTTATATAGTGCTGGAAATGTTGGCAGTGCTTTTTGGAGCATTAAAGACAGACTGAAAGGCTTGATGTTGTTCTTACCTGGGTTGTAGACAGAATGATAATTAGGGAGACATCTTAGCCAAAAGGTCAGAGGAGGGAAGGGATTAATTGGAGGGGACAGTTTTCTGAAAAGAATCAAAGGAATTAAATAAAAATGTATCTTAGTGTGTGTCACAGGCAAAGATAAAGCAGTTGCAGCTGTGAAGACCAAAGCATCTGCACTAAAGGATCTGAGTCTGATCAGATGGCAGCAGGAAGTTTGAACATTTTTTGCCTTTTTTTTTCTGGTGATGCTTATTGGACATTTTCATTGCTATAATAGACTATGCAGGGCTGAACTTTGAAATGGAGTCTTGTGGCACCAATGTGTGGGAGCTGTGGGAGTGTATTGGGAAGGAGAGAGTATCCAAGCAGAAGTTGAAAGCCTCATTGTTTTGCTTCAAGCATTGCATTTGTTTCTTTTCAGATGCCTTACACTGGGAGCTGAATCTTTTTCTTTCCTCTTCGCAGTGAATCCTAGACTAAATTGCACTCACGTTCAGCATGTGAGCCTGTCATTCAAAACCCTGAATCTTAACATCTTGAGATAGATAGCTATGAGGGTATATACGTCATATAAACTGCTGATATGTTTAATTTTTAAAATAAAACAATCAGCATTTAGAAGTTCTTCTTTTAGAAAAATGCATACAAGTTTTCTTTACAGGAAGAATTATTAGTCAATGTTGGGAATTTTTGTAATATATAACAATCTTCCCATCTTGTGTTGTCATTTACAGGTGTGCTAAGTGAAAACATATTTTTTTTGGTGTATATATGATGAGGTGTGTTGGTATATTGTAGTTGTTCCAGTGGTGAGTGAGAATGCATGTATAGTCCTGCATCCCTGTGGAGTCCTTCTCTGACTCCCATCTTCCTGAAATAAAACTGTCTATCCTGGACCTGGTTTTAATTTTTAGCTTTTTTTCACCATTCTACTCTACCATCCTCCTTCCTTTGCCCATTTACTTGTGTCTATGCTCAGTAATTATTGGTACATTGTGGTCTCTTTAGCAACATCTCTAAACAACACTGTAGTTTCATCACTGGCTTAGGTAGTCATTGGATGGAAGTATTTCTGCTTTCTTAGCAAGTGAGAATATTTTTGTAAAGTTTTTGGACTGGGATTTTTTTGAGTGCCATCATCCAAAGAAAAGCCTTTGGACCTATTTAGAACTTTTTAGATGTGCAGATCCCTGAAATTTGACCGCCCAGACATCTGCATAGTGAATTTAAGCCCTTGACTATATATTTGCTTTCCTTTGCCACTTTTCCTGGTTTTCCTCGAAGTAATTCACAGATGCCCAGAAAACAAGAACCACACTCAGCAGCTGTTGTTCTAGGCTGTTAGAAATATTTTGCCTGAGTCATTTTTTCTTTTCAGTCTTGCAGGCTGGAAGACTGCTTGGTTTTGGTCTCAAGAGAACGTGTTCCTTTTTACACAGAGAAACTTGCAACAGTTGCTTTTGTTTGGTTTAAAACATGAGGCTTTTAAAAATATTGCCCTGCATTGCTACATTTGCTTTTTACAGAGCACTGACATGCACTTTCAAGCATGGCCTGCAAGCCTTGCTGTGCCATAATGTCCTTGCACACTGAAGCCTTGAAATCTATGTGACTATTCTGTGGTACCTTGATAAACGTTTGTTATTCCTTCAAAGAATGAGTAATGCTTTTTCTTTCTCTTTTTTTTTTCCCCTTTCTTGCTTCTACATCTTCATTCAGGTTCTATGAATTCTCAGCTTTGGCCAGGCAGGAAAGTTTCTTCTGTCAAACAAATCTTATCCTAGTCCTTAACTAGAGCATGACATTACTGGAGGGCAGTAGATGGGTTGCAAGCTCTGAGATCTTTGGTGAACCTGCACTGATGCTAGGCATCAGGTCTACTTGATTTCTCAAAGAAGGTCTTCTAGTCTTAAAAGCCTGGCAAAGTACCTGTGGTTTCTCACTGAAAGTGGGAACGGGGAGAAGCTGTAACAAATGCTCATTACCTAATGTTGGGTTGGATGCTCCCAGCGTAACACAGATGCCTCAGCCATCTTTGTACTTATGTTTAGGTCTTGGCAGGTGAGGCTGTACTGAGTTACAGCTACCCACGAAGGTATATCTTCTACAACAATGAGAACTAGAAACATCTTGCAGTACCAGCAGCTACTAAGACCTGCATTCATGAGGAGAACTGCTGTCAGGGCTCTCAGAGTGCTGACAAGGGAAAGGAGTTAGTGTTGTCTGGGTACTTGGACAGTTGCCTATTTGCCAGTCTATGGGTTTCTCATGTTTACAGGCTTATTTGGATCCTTTTCTTTGGAAAGGCAACGTACAGTTAATCCATCACTGTGTTTTTGAAGTAACACTGTGGGAATGTGCACTCTCATGGAGACTGATACTGTACAAGTAGATGTATTTTGTTTGCTTGTCCAGTTGAGGCTTGTATTTTATCTATTCATAAAATGACTGTGAAGCTGCTATTGGTTCATCCAGCCATGAAAAAACAGTGTTCAGATATAGATGTAGATGTAGAGCCTTTTAAACATTAGCTGATGCTCTGAGTTAAACTTGGGTATGGAGGAAAACTTTGTCAGACACTTGCTGAGAAACTAAGAGGCAAGATGATGAGTTTGAAAACTTGGGTAAATTGATACTGTGCTGACATTTATTAATCCACCTCACAGTAGTATATGATCTTTCTGACAAGGGGTAAATGATTGTCTGTTCTAAGCACCAGTGACTTGAAGGTAGGTGGCTGGTTCTCCCACCTTATGTATTAGGCCAGAGAGCTAGACTGCAGATTTATGTTAATGCTCCCTCATTAAAATCTTGAATTAGTTACTTCTTAGATTATTTTGAATCATGGCAAGTTTTAAAATCTTCATGTATGAACAAAGTGTAGAAATATTCATATTGCATAAGTAAATAATCAAACCTGCTTTCCTTCCACAGCTATTTGGACATTGGAGAAACAAAGAAAAAACCTGCTGAGGTCAATAATGAGGTAGGATGTCTGAAATATTTAAGAAGTAAACCTGCAGTTAATGTTAGTGACATGCCTGCATTTATGCCTGATTTATTAAATATATATTTTAATAATAATACAATTATCTACTCTTCTCAACATATTTTTTTCAGTTATTATTACTCTGATTGCTCTGAGCATGATACACTGATTGTCTTCTGCTCAGCTTCCTGAATTGCCACATCCAGTTAAAAACTCAGTAAAAAAAATCTGTTGTCTTCATTGGATCTGCTCATAAACCTAAGGCAGCTTTTTACATGCAGAAAAAATGGTGGGAATGAGAATTTTGGAGTTTTTGGACCAGCAAATTTTCTTCAAAATTTGTTATTTTCTCTGGAGAAGGGGCATTATTGTTTGGAAAAAATCACACTTAGTTGAAATGGTTTTCACAGACACCGTCAGTGTCGGTTGTAAACTTCCAGCTGGTTCTAGTCCATAATTTGCCAAGCTCACCTCTTTCTCTTCAAGCAGCACTATGCTGTAGCCTGAGGAGATAACTGCAGCCTTCAAAAAAATTATATGTGAATTTATGTGAGATGCGTGACTCCGCATTATTTTTACTGGTTATTGTGTATGGAGATAACAGTGATTCCCAACAACCATTTGAATTACAGCTCCTGCCTTGCAAGAAGCATCAGCTCACTTGTTTTTCAATTTATTTTGCCTTGTGCTCTCATGCCACATTTCCAACTATTTAATAGTTCGTATAGCAGGTGTTTTCAGGCAGTAGGACACTTACTAGAAGATCCTCAAAACTGAGGCCTTAGTGCCCTAATGATACTCACTGATACTCAGATACCTGTTGTTCAGATGCTGCGAAATACAACATCTCATTTTATAATTGAGTATAACTTTGTAACCTGTATTATTTTTAAATGGGCACACTCAACAGGAAGCTCAAATGCAAGTCGGAGATTTGATACACTACTACAAGTACCCTGTAAATTTACTCTTGGATATTCTTACAGTTTGTTTATTTACACAATTGATCAGAACACTGTAGAGATGGTTTTGATGGTTTTGTGTAGCCATTCATGTCTCCATGTTGTTTGGGTCTTTTTCACAAAGGAAAGAGACCAATTTTTAAAAACAGGAAAATTGATTAAATGCTGGTGAGGCAGCAGGATTATACTCTGTTGCTGACATGCATATAAAACTGAGTAACACACTTTCACATATACATTATCAATGTTTTCCCATGTCCTTTATTCATAAATTCCATTTTTGACCTCCAGTATTTTCTTATTCCAGTCCTGAGTCTCCTCTGATCAAGTTTTCTGAAACTACTTACTTGCAGGGTGCACAGACAGAGAAATAAGTAGTGATCTAAGTATGAGATTATAATTGGGAGGGTGGGGAGGGAAGAGTTAAAATGTTTGTGGGGCAGCAGTATTGCACTTACCTGAATCTTCAACACATAAAACAGAGTTCTGAGCTAAAAAACCCTATCTTTGGATATATGACCAGTCTTTACTTTTTTTTTTTCTGAAAAACTGAATATTTAGATAACTGAAAAAAAAAACTTGATAAAATTGCTTCTAATTATTTCTGAAAATACAGTGCTTTGCCTTGACTATTATGTGTGAGTTCCCTTAATAATGTGCAGTGTGACTAATTCCATCTGCCCTTTGCTGAGGAGGTAGTTTTTCTTGTGGAATGCACTTGATAAAATCTCCTGATACTGACAGTTAACAGTACAACTACAGGCTTGCTGATTTAAGGCTAGTTTTAAGCCTGATTTTTTTGCTGCAAATCCTTACAAGATTCTTGACATAAGAGAAAATCTCTGCAGTTGGAGAAGTAGTTGTAGGACTTGTGAGTTTTATTACTTGCAGTTGCATTTTTGCTAAGAGAGGCTTCTATTATTTATTCTGGAATCACTGTATATTATTGTATCTCGTCATTGTATATTATCTTCACACTTTCAGCCATCTCTCAGAGCTTTGAAGTAACCCAGTATAAACCATCCATTATCTCAGCTTTCTTCTTCCTATTTGACTTATGTTTGCAATCTTCACTGTCTCCCTGTGGAGAGCTTAAATCCCTGTGTTGAGTTTAACTCTATGTGACTGATTTATTTGGGAAGAGTCATAAAAATGAGATGCAACATAATAATAGCCTACAGATTTTATCTGAGCTTATGAATAACACAACTGTTTTCATTCCCTAAAAATTTAGACCTAGAAATGAACTTTCAGGGGAGTAGTAACAGAAGTTTTAATGCCTAAATATATTTACATTAAAATGGTATGAGGCAGCATGTTCTGGTTTTACCTTTTTTTTCCAGGCATTCAATAAGTAATCAAAAACCTAGGTCTGTTTTAGGACCAGGAGGGACAGCAATATTCTCTTGGATTCTGCTAGATTTGCATTAGCGAACAAAAAAATTGTGGTTTTCCATGGCCCCTTCTAACAGTCTTCTATGCCAGCCCCTCAAAAGTATTTTACTTTCATAAGACATTATTTTAAATTGAATTTCAGAAATAAAACCTTCCCCATTTGTTTCATTAGAAGAATAAGAAAAAAAGAAGTGTATATGTGAATTACAACATTGCTCAAGAAAGAAATTTATGGTTCAGTCCTGCAGCTCAGCAAGTGTAATTTGTGAATTGTTTCAATGACTTCAGTAGAAAGGTTACTGTGGAGTTCTGCATGTACAGAGAAATTTGTGGGTCAGGTCTGAGTTTCTAGTATTTTGGTGGGCTGGGGTGGGGACAGCAAGTAAAACTAATAAAATTATTTGGTAGATTATTTGGCCCACTACAGCTTTGTGGGCTCCTCGCAGCTCAAGGATCAGTGTGCTAGGCATTGTATGAAAAGTTCACTGATAGCCTCATAGAGAAGTCCAAGGTGTGTTTTCAGACTGATCTTTGTCAGGGCAATTCCTGCTCTCTTTGTCCTGGTGCTGAAGTATTAAAAGGAATCACAGCAATAAATGGCCTTGTGCCACAGTACTCCTGAGTGCTGGTGGTGTGTTCACAACTGGGGCAGGATATTTTGTTGCCCATAGAAGGAGATGGTCTTGGAGCTCTTAGAGATGGCTTGCCCTAGACTGTTTTAAAAGGACATTGGTGCTGGCCTGGATGCTTAGGTACAAGGATATCCATTATGGTTGTATGAAGCGCATTAAACTTGGCATTTCCTATCTGGTGAGTGTTTCTCAGTGCAGGTTTTTCTCCACTAAAACAATTACAGATATCTATTTCTGATTCTGGTTAGTGTGAAGGGAGTCGAAAGGAAGAAAACTTTATGCAGCAGCTGTACATTGTGTATTTGTATGCAGCTGTATGTTTTCTTTTGTGTTAGTTAAACAGCCAAATGCTTGACATCTGCTTTTGGGAACACTTTAATGTTGTTCTTTGAAGGCAACATCTCAATTACCTTAAATTTGCATATAACTAGAGAATATGCGTCAAACTAGAATTAGACATGAAAAAATTGATGCTGAAGATATGGTGTAAATCCTCTGACAGAGCCATCATGCTGTAATAGTATATCTCAAAATTTTAACAGTCGTGTTACTGGTAGAAAAAATAGTAAAAAGATTTTATCCTGACTGGAGCTAAAGATTTGTTGCAAACTATTTTTCAGCTGTGTTTCCATCCATCATTCTTTTGCCAACTGAGCTGCTTGTTTTGCAGAGATCCCTTCTGTACTGGAGGTGATCTGCAAGTTCAAATACATGTTAAATGATGTGCTTGAGGAATGTAACAATTAATCTCTTGGGAAAATATGGACCAACAGAGTTACCATTTGTTTATTATAAGCTTAATTGTTTTTAAAAGGCACTGAATGTTATTTTCTAATTATAATGTGTAAAGTATGGACATTTATATTACTCTAGGCACTGTCTGATCTAGATGGGCTCTCCCTGTGCACTCAAAAAGATGAATTTTACTTGTCATTGGGGCTGGGTAAGCTGGTGAAGAATTGACTGAGCTTTTGTATTTTCAAATCCTCTAGCCAACTATTTGCTTTGCAAAAATATGTTCAGCTGAAACATCCTTTCTTCTTTGACTTCTTATGATCAAGTTTTTTTAATACACTGTAGCAAATGACCTTTGCCATGTATTATTGTAAAAGCAAAGAATTACAGGTGCCTAAGAAAAGCAGATGTAATTTGATATTGAAGAACCACTCTCTTGCAACCACAAGAAAAAAAGGAAGGTTGTAGTGTCTGTATGAAACAGCATCTGTTATCAAAAGTCCATAGTAGGCCTGCAGTAAGCTGCTCAGCTGACAATGTAGATAGATTTGCCTTTGGTTGATAGCAGACATATCTTCTTAGGTAGTAAAAACATTGAGGTTTTTTTGTCTGCACTTCACTTTTCTCCTGGACTTCTGGAACAAGGTGATTGATTGTGTGGCAAGCTCTGACACAAGTATTTTTTGTGCTGCTCAAGATTCATTGTCATTTGTGTTCCACTTGGATTTTTTTTCCAATTTATATTCTAGAAAAGCATTTATAAAGTTAATTTAGAAAACTTTACTTACATGTCTTACTCTGTGAAAGGCACATCAAGGGTTAGCCCTATGCTGTGTAGAGATAAGGATGACATAAACTCATTTCCTTAGTTTCGCCACTGTTTTCTATAATGCTTAAGCAATGAAAACATCTCAGTCCACAATTTTATAACCTTTGCCTGCTTACAGCGTGTTTATAACATTATTACCCATCAGTTGGGAACTGTGTAGGTTCAGTAAGTGTGAAAACAGGTGTAAGAGCTGGCTGGTTGTAGGCCAAGTGACTGGTTGAGGCAGGGTCACTTTACCCAGTTCTCTGAGTGGTGGGTGCATTCCAGAGTGCTGCCATTTAGCCTTGCAGTGTGTATGGATCTCAGACTGTGAGATTCAGTGGTGTGTGTGTGTCAGGGGCCCTGGAGTGAAGGACTCTCTGCCTGCCACCCACCAGGTCTTGTCCTACCTCCTTCCCAGATCCAGGTTCGATCCATGTTCAGCCTGGGCACCTTTCGGCAGTT